CACACACACACACACACACACACACACACACACACACACACACACACACACTCACACACGCAGCGTCAAAAGCTCAAGCGCGAAAATACAATGCACGTAGGAAATCACGGGCTGTTAATTCCCAAGTTGTGATGATCATCAAATTTTACTACCTTAGAACATTATTAAAACTACAAAGTTCTATCTGTTCAGTAGATCTACCTAGTTTTGAGAAATTTGACGTCGAAATTTTTAGTTTTTGGAATGCATTTCTTTGCAGCTCTTGATAACAACTCCGAATAATTTTATGATTTTGATAGAGGGAATAGAACGTTTGGTTTCTGATCTCATTGTCTTATTGACTCAAAACGACCCAAAATATTAGCTAGAACTATATATTTGTAAAGTAGTGAACTAGTAACATTTGTTTTGACGACTCACTCTTCAAGTCGACTCACTGGTAGTTCATTTTAGAAGCGGAAAGCTTTGACTTTGATTGTCAGGGTCAACTCAGGCTGGGTAGTTAGATGGCCGGGGGTGTGAGGGGGAGGGCACAATTAGGCCAGTAAACGTTTTACGGCACTTGCAGCATAGTAAGGTCAGATAAGTGACGGAGATTAAAGGTGTTGTAAGAGAGTAACAAACACAATTTTATTTCAAAAAGGGGAGATAAACACGATAGATGGATAAGAGATCAAATCAGTTTTCATCCTCGGGAATCGAACTCATGCCATCTGTGTGCAAAGGAGAAAAACCTTACGCCGTAGACCCAGGTGTTTATGCGTTAGTTACTCTTTCTTACTTTGCTTTCTCCCTGTACTGTTATGTACATAAGGCGGAGAGCAGTCGACGCCAAGCTTTCTCTCCCTGTACTGTTATGTACATAAGGCGGAGAGCAGTCGACGCCAAGCTTTCTGTCCCTGGCCACTTTTTCCAATTTCGGCTCATCTAGGCCTCATCTCTTATTGTACCTCTATAGCTTCCAGTATGTCTTCCTCGCTTTCTCTTTCCAGTTGGTTTCCAATGCCATTTCTGATAGATAAATCTTCTCTTCGGCATTCTCAGAACATGTCCCAGGTATCTCCATCTCTTTTTTATTGTTGTGTTGATATCTTCAATTCCAGCTCTTTCAAACATGTCATTATTTGTAATAAATCCATTCCATTTTATTAATAAAATTATTCGTTAGTACTGGCTGAAAAAAAGTCCAACACTCACAAGTTGTTTATTGGCAAATGTAAAACGAAACTACGCTTGTTTAATGGCCAATGTCAGCGAACAGACGCTACGATATTGAATATTATTAATGTACAGGAATGCCTACGGACGTTTTCGCTTCGCCTTTAAAGATAATCACAGAAAAATAATTCTTTAGAAACATTACACAAAACAGGTCCCACTGTCGTTCCCAGTCCACTAACGAGTAATAATGAATTTGTTTTTGTCTACACAAAGAAATCAGTGAGGAATAATTGTTTACTCATCATTACTGGCTAATAAATATTCCGATAGAAATATAGAAGTGCTTTAAATAGACTTAATTATGGGGCTAGAGTATTTTTGTGTGGATTGTGGGTTCCTATATTTTTGTGGTGGTTACATAATGCGTTTATAATGTGTTTTTGATTAGTAAAAGAGAGAGAAATGGAGGGGACTTGGTGGTGAAGAGAAGGTGGGGGAGGAAGGGGGAAGGGAGGGACGGGGGAGGGGAAGGGTAAAGACAAGTCAGGAAGTAGAAGAGGGGTGGGTGAAGGGGGAGTTGGGGGTATGGAAAAAGGGTGAGGCCCCCTCATTACTTATTATGACTATCATTGAGCCTCTGTAGATGTGACGGGCGGATTTGCGTGCCGGGGTAGGCCCGACGGCGATTTTGCTGCTGGCGCGTGCTGTTTATGGGGACATTGTCGGTAGGGGGGGAGGTGAGCTTAGATGATGACCTGTGGTGCACGCCGCCCGTGGCTCCGCCCTGCGATGACGTCACGCCGCCTCCCGACGTTGAGGCGGTCGCTGCGGCCGCTGCTCCCCCCGAGGTGTCCATGTCTTCCTGCGCCGAGGTGTCGTAGCCGTTGACGGCCCGCGACGATGCCACCACCGTGGTTGGTCCCTGGTTCACGTGGCCCGGGTGGTTGCCTCGCTGGGTGGCAATGGCGTGGGCGGCCGCCGCGTTGGCCTGGTAGAAGCCCTCCAGCCCGTTGTTGAGCAGTAGGCTGAAATGTGAATATTTAAAGTTTGAAAATTGGGAGAGAGAGAGAAAAAAAGAAAGAAAAAGAGAATAAATAAAAGAACGAAAAAGAGTAAAAAGCGCCCAGGACTAGTGACAACTGTTTCGTATTAATTAAAGCTAGTTTTGGCTTGTTTTTTTAGAGCTGTTCCTGATTCAAGTTTATTAGTAAAGACAAAGCCTCTTTTCCAGCACACATGAGGAGACGGCTCACCTTTCATTCTTGTAGCTCTTGCGGGGCGAGCGAGGCCCACGCTCGGAGATCCAGGGCTGGGTGGCCATCTCCGTCAGCACAGACGGGGCCACGTATGTGAAACCCTGCAGGGGGGGG